CCCAACCTGGCCCCGGACCTGCAGCAGCTCCTGCGCGTTGGCCACGGCGATCTGCACCTTCACCTGCTCCATGATGAGCCCCGGATCCAGCTTGCCGCCCCCCGAGCCACCGAAATCCGAGCCGAAGCCTCCATCCATAGCTCCGCAAAGTCAACCGGCACGAGGCCGCGTGCGCCGACCCGTACCTGCACCGGAAGTCGGACGCCCGTGGCTCCACGGGAAATGGAGTCCGGGCGTGCTGGGGACAGGACGACGGGCAGGACCACAACTCCCATAAGCCCGCCGCTATGTTGGAAGCCGATATCCAGCGTTGACTTCCGGACAGCTTGCTGTGCTGGGAGCTGGCGGCTCCGACTTGGCGCGGGGAGGGGCACTCCGCGCACAGGCCCAGCCCCCAACGCATCCCACCACGCATGCGCAGGGGGAGGTGGCGGCGCGTGTACCCTGCGCGCTGCATTGGGGTGGAGCCGAGAAGAACCCTGGGCGCCTCGAGTGAAGAACGCTGGCCTTGTTGGAGGCTCAGCTAGAGAAACGGTGCAGGGAACTACGGTAGCGAGTACTGCCGGGGGAGGTTAAGAAGTGGAGCCTGTCCGCACCTGCCAGTGGTAATTTTTTTTAGTGTGTGTGAGGCCTAACCACTTGTCAACCCGGAGAAAGAATATACCTGCCAAAAAGGACTCCTTCTGGTTAACTGGGCTTGAATTCATAACCAGAGTCTAGCAGCCATTGCTTACAGGGGCCTCTCACCCACATTGCATTTTGGGGAAATGCTGCAAAGTAAGCTGCCAGCCTCCTGCACTGTTTCTGCCTGCTGACTCACTTTTAGAAGAGAGGTCCTAGGATGGTAAGTCTACCAATAGGCTGAAGACCTGCCCTTTCCAATCAGAGCTATGCAACTATAGCCTCATTTGTATCTCTACTGTCTAATCACTTGGAGCTGACTGGTATATGGGCCAAACTGCAAACGTGAAATCCTCATTTGTATAGGAATGGACCAAATGGTAACCAGAGGCTGGCACTCTATATATACACCTCACCACTGTATCAGCAGTGTCTAGTTGTACAGTATTTCTGCAGTTTGCAAATTGAGCTATAGCACCCGATCCCCTCACCTCAGCCCCTGCTTCAACTAAGCTGTTTGACACCTGAGCTGGCCCACAGCCAAGCTCACATTAGCAGGCATGCGGAAGGATGCTTTCATAAAGAGGGGTGCATGTGAGGATGCTCACCCTATGGGCACTGGGGGGCAACACCACCCATGAGTACAAGATGGGTAACACATGCTCTAAAATTCTAAAGTTAATCAGCCGCCTCCTGGTGGTAGCAGAAGGGACTGTACAAAAATTACAGCCCAGAAAATTGCATTTGGCTAGACCTCTGGACAAAAATCATGAGATGATCTTGAGCTTTGTTAGCCAAGATTTGGTTCCTTTGAAGCCCCAAAACTTGCCTGAATACCATATCTCCCAGAAATAGTGGGAAAATTTTGCCCATACCTTGAAAACTCTAAAGTAAAACAAACTGAATGTATCTGTATTTTAAATGGCTTCTGAGGTCTCTTTTTCTCCTCCCCATCTTTGCGGGTGAGGGGTGGGGGGATCTTGTGTTCAGGCTGCACCTCTGGAGCCATCTTCTTTGACTCTAGGAAAATCAGCTCTTTTAATCAAGCCTCCTGAGGCTGCTCTCTGCTTTCTGAGCTTTCCAACTTTACTGTGCTACCACCCACAGCAGTTACTAAAATACTTCTAGAAAAGATTTTCCCAGATTGGGAAGCCCCCAGCTAGCTCCACTTTACAGGACAAACTCTATAACAAATAATGTAAAAACTTGGCTGACATTGTAGCATTTGTATTTCGTTTACCATTCCCAGTCCTCTGGCCTTATGGGGTGGATGAGATGATTAAAACTCAATTGGTACCCTAGCCAGTTTGGATCAGTGGTTAGAGTTGTCAGCCCGTGGACTTAAAGGGTCCTGGGTTTGATTCTGGCCAAGGGTATGTATCTCAGTTGCAGGCTCCATCCCTGGCCCCAGTTGGGGGATATGTGGGTGGTAACCAATAGATGTGTCTCTCTCATGTCAATGTTTCTCTCTCTCTCCCCCTCTCTCTAAAATCAATAAAGATAAATTTTTTAAAAACACAAAACTCAATTGGGGCCCTGTCCAGATGGCTCATTAGGCTGGAGAGTCATCCCATACACCACAAGGTTGCAGGTTTCATTCCTGGTCAGGGCACATACCTATGTTGTGGGTTCGATCCCCAGTTGGCACGTACGAGAGGCAACTGATTGATGTTTCTCTCACATCGATGTTTTTCTGTGTCTGTGTCTGTCTCTCTGTCTCCCTCCCTCTCTCTAAACATATCCTATCCTCCTCAGATCAGGATTAAAACAAAAACAAAAAACCTCAATTGGTGAACCTTGTTGAATTTTTGAATCTACCCTGGCCTAAAGCCATTCCTGTGGTATTTCTTAACCTTAGAACTATTCCCTTTGGTAAGCATCGATTGTCTCCTTTTGAAATAACTACCAGGAGACCCCTGAGACAGCTCAGGAAATACATGAACCTGCCTTAAGGAGACATTCTTATTGTAAAGAAACTATGAAAGCCCTTGAAATTATTCCAAGGACATTTCCAGAGAACTCCTCTAACCTCGATGGAAGGAACTACACTGGGTATTGTTAACTGGTCCCTGGACCAAAAAGTTAGAAGGTAGTCTCATAAATTTGTGTTTCACATTTAGAAAGGCTCCCTCACTTACACCTCATGCCCCTGACTGGGCCTCTCAGCCTGTAGACCTCCAAGTTGTCGGAGCAGACCGCTTTCCCAGGACCTGGGGCCAGGCTGGGAAAGTCCACTCCTGCTGTGCATAATCCTTGTTTCATAGTTGTCGTTTTCCTGGGTATGCTAATGATATGAATTTTTTTGCAACAAGCCAGTCACCATCCCTGTGTTTTAGATTGTATGTTCTAGTTATTCCATATTGTTAACCCCTGACTACACAGGCCTTCCTGGTTTTTGTTGCTTTAACCCCTGAATTTACTATTGATTTCGACAGACCTCTTCCTTCTGAGACTGGTCAGGTTAGACTACAAAAGAGGGCCCCACCTCTCCCTTGTGTCCACCTAAACCTATCCTCTACATTGATCACCGTATATGCATACACTTTCCCCTCCTGGCCCTACGTGGGGCCTGACCATCTCGTACAACTGAGTTAGTCTCTGACTGCCTGTTAGGGCATCGCTACTGCATCTTAAATGCCTTAAATTAGGCTGCACCTACTTCAGCCCTGGCTGTTGTAGGACTCCCTCTGTAAGCCACTATGGCCAGAAGCAGTACTATTCAGCATGGTCCCCCTCTCTGCCGTCAAAGTCAGCATTCCAGTAATTTTACATACCACCTAATGGTAGCCTCACTTTTCCCTTATACAAGGAGCTCTTTTGGACCTATGTGCATCTTCCTTTGTTTCTGACAAGTCAAGGGAGCTTAATTCGTGTGTCCAGGTAGAATGAAGTGCTACTAGTTTATGAAAAGTACATTTTATTCCTTCTATCTTGCTTCTTATGCTGGAAAGGTTTGTAACCTCTATATTGATATCTGATCAGTTATTCAAGTGGAAAAAGACCTGTGTCTCAATTGAGGCGATTTAGAGCAAAGTGGTAAGGTAAAAACTGATGGCTGAAAATTGATGCAATCTTGATGAGTATTTTCAAATGTGTATTATTCTCTTCCCAGTACCTTAAACTGAAAAGGGGCAATTTCAAATATGAGAAAGACTCCTTCAGATAGGAGTGATATCTCAGCAGTGGTCAGTCTGACCACTTAAGGCTTCTCTTTCTTTACTCTCGGCACTAACTGTATTGAGTAGAGCTCAGTGTTCTGAAGACTACTTCCCTTTGTGAATTCTGTATCTCCCACCTCATGCCAGTCCTAAAAAAGAAAAAAAAGAAATGCATTTTAAGTGTTGTCAGAAAGAGTAAGTCTAACATTTTAAATATCTATTAATATGGGTAACATTTAACATTAAATGTGCTATATGATGGGTTGGTGTTAACTGTTGCCTGACAATTAGGGAACAACCTGACTTAATTAGCAGCTGGTCTTAACTTCTCAGTCGTTGATCCAGAAATATATTTCAACCAGGGACTTGACTTCCTGGAAAATAGGCTTGTTGTACAATACCAGTAACATTCTGGAACCTACAAATTCAATTCCTCAGATCCTTTAGAACACCTACCTCGGCCCAGACACTGCAATGAGTTATTGGATTGATAAGATTGGGTTAAATCGGTAAAAAATTGAGTTCTCCCCCTTTCACCTATGAAGTCAGGATGATGTATTGGAAGGGGAAGAGTATTTATTTTTCTTTTTTATTCCCTTCCCCCACCCTTTTCCCCTTTCGCAACCATCAGCTTGTATTCTGCAGTTATGGACCTGTTTCTGCTTTGTTTTGTCATGCATTCGTTTTTTGTTTTTAAGATTCTATAAGTGAAAAAATATGGCATTTGTCTTTGTTGTTCAGACTTATTTTACTTAGCATAATACCCTATAGGTCCATCCATGTTGTCACAAATGGTAAGATTTCATTCTTTTTATGGCTGAGTAATATTCCATTGAATAATGTATGACCTCTTTTTTTTTTTTTAACTAAAAGAGTTGACAATTTTATTTTTACATTTCACAATACAAATGAAAATTGCTTTTTTTTTGGTCTCACTACTCCCCTCCAAAACTATTCTCTTCTGATAGGAAGAGGGAGTGAATCTTCCTGGCCTTGCTGTTAGAAAACACCCAGAGTCACAGTAGCACGATCTCCTGGTGAAGTAGAACAAGTAACCGACAGAGAGGCTCCCCTCTCCCCTTACCTGTCTGGTCCAGGCGTTCCTGGCCAAGTGGGCGCCATCGTGGGGTGGGTGGGACGTCGCATCACTGGGGGCCCAGGCATCATTGGCGTGTGCCCTCTCGTGGGTGGCCGCATTCCAGGAGCAGGTGCCACTGGCATCATCCCAGGAGGTGGAGGGCCCATAACTGGCATCATGGAAGGGCCCCATATGGGGTGCTGGCCTCATCCCAGGGTGAGGAGGGCGGGAAGACACGGGGGAGGTGGGGCCGCTGCCCATGCAGGGGGAGGAGCAGAGAATGGAGTGGGAGGCACCCTTCCTTGCTCAACTGCTGTGGTTTTGTCAGTCAGGCTCTGAGCATACTCTCCCATCCATTTCTGATAGTCTTTTACATTTTCTTTCCATTTCCTACCACTGCAGTGTATCTTTCTCACAGATGGAGAGTCATGGCTGAGGTATCCCAGAAGTCACCATAAAACTTGGGCATCTTGCTTTGCAGGCCATTGGCCACTCCATTCCTTGTACCACCTCTTTATCCAATTGTCTATCAATAGACACTTAGGTTCCTTCCATATCTTGTCCATTGTAAATAATGTTGCAATGAACATAAGGGTGCATGTGTCTTTTCAATTAGTGTTTTTTTCTTTGGATAAATACCTACAAGTATAATTGCTGGATCGTGTGGCAGCTCTATTTTTATTTTTCAATTACAGTTGACAGTCAATATTATATTAGTTTCAGATGTACAGCATAGTTGTTACACATTTATGTAACTTATGAAGTGATCCCTCAATAAGTCTAGTACCCACCTGGGACTGCACATAGTTATTACAATATCATTGACTGTATTTCCTATGCTGTACTTTATATCCCCATGATTATTTTGTAACTGCCAATTTATACCCTTTTCACCCAACTCCCCTCCCATCTGGCAAACCTGTTTGTTCTATGAGTCAGCAGTCAGCCTTCTTTGTTATAAATTTACTGTGTTAGGGATGATTTATTTTTGGGCTATTCTATTCCACTGGATTATATATCTCTTTTTATGCCAGTACCATACTGTTCTGATTATTGTAGCTTTATTGTTCGATATCAAGGAATGTGGTATCTCACCACTTTGATCTTTCTCACAATTTCTTTTGATGTTCAGGGTCTTTTGTGGTTCCATCTAAATTTTAGGATTAGTTATTCTAATTCTTCGTATGTAGGTGTGTGTGTCCAAAGTCAATCTCATTAGTTTAGGAAACCAAACCCTTTGCAATAGCCCTCTCTGGCCAGTATCATAAGATCCCAAGTCTTGTAAGTAGCCTGCAGGTTTCTCTACCTACTTCAACCTCACAGACTCCTGCATGGTTGAACCAACTGAATGTGCATAAAGTTTTCCCCTTCTACTGTATTTTCCATTTCATTTATTGTACTCTTCAGGTTTGTTTGGTTCTTTCTTACACTTTCTCTTTGTTGAAGTTCTCCCTAAGTACCTCTCAAGTTTGGGGCGGATCCTTATAACTGTTTCTTTGAAATCTTTATCAGGCAAATTACTTATTTCCATTTCCTTAAGATGTTTTTATGGGTGTCTCTTCGTTCCTTTATTTGAAAGATATTTTGTCTTTTCATTTTAACTTTCTAGGTGGGTTTTTAAGAATTAGACAAAATAGCTCTCTCCCCCAGTTGTGAAAAATGGCCTAATGTAGAAGTAGGCTGCGTGTGCCAGAGGTTTTGGCAAGTAGGAGGTGAGCTGGTGCCTAAGGATTGGCCCTGGGGCGGGGAGCCCAGATGTGTGTAGTAATGCCGTAATCGGCTTGCTCACTTTGTTCAGGCCAAAATCGGCTGGAACAAAGCCATGGATTGAGCCCCCAGGGCTCTCCCGCCTTCTCTGTAAGACCTTCCTCGTTGTACAGAAAGTGGCCTCTGTGTAGGTTAGGTGTGTCAGGTGTTTTTGGCAGTTGGTAGAAGCCTAGCAGGTACCTAAGCATCAGACCCAGGTGTGGAGGCCCAGGGCCCTGTTGTCCCTTTGTTCAGAGGCAGAAGGCTCTGGGCAGTGTAGCTGGGAACTGTAGTGAGCCCCTGCTATCCTATGTAGGTGGAGGGGACGTGAATGGTGCTCACACGCCGAAAAAGGCCATTGGCATTTTAGCAGTTTGGTTGCAGTAGCTGGGCCTCAAAGTAAACTCAGAGGGACAACTTAAAAGCAAAATGTTTATTGGAGTGTTGTACAAAAAAGTTTCCAGTCAGAAAATGTGTATTACAAAGCATTGGAGGAAAAAAGAAAAAGACCACACATTTGGCATGCACCTTAAAAACCACCAACACATCTGAAATGAAAGTGTAGACCTGGCAGTTCTGGAAGCAGACTCCACTGCAAGTTGTGTTGAGGTGCTGGCATAGACATAAAACCTTTCCAGTAGCTCTGCCGGCCTGGAGGAGCGTTAGTCTCGCTTGGATATGCTAATGTGTACAGGAGTGCAGTCTCCGTGTCAGAGCCTCAGTTAGGAAACTAGCTGAGTGGCCATGCCCTAGGTGGGCGCCCAGTCACCTCCCTGGGGGCAGCCCCCTCACTGCTGCTGGGGGCCAGTGTGGTTTTTCAGTAGGAGCGCTGGGCTTAGTCACACGACAGGGGCTCAGTCAGAGGCATCACTTCTCCATCACTGTAAGAGGCTTAAAGCCAAGCTTGTTTAAGGACACGTGCACTATTTCCCAGGCCATAACAAGCAATTTCACATTGATTTCTGCTCCATGTTTCCAAATACTTGATTACCCATGAGTGTCACCACCAGGTCCAGGTGACCCTCCCTACTGGGTGGAGACTGGGCCACTTCCCAGCCCCACCCAAGGCCTCTGCCAGGCACTAGGGGGGCCCTGTCCATGAGCTTACAGCTGGGAGACTGTTAGCAAACCACAAACCCAAAATCCAGGACAGTTTTGAACCCTCAGATTTCCCCCCTTTTGTCTGGGGCTACCAACACCCATTTTCCCAGTGCATCACTGTACACTCTCCAGGCCCTCACTGTCCACACAGTTCCTGCAATGGGGCTGTGGAGGCTTGTGGGGGGCAACCCTTGGCCTCAGGGGCCCTGCATGCACTCCCAGGAAAAGTTCAGGTAGGGTACAGGGTGCTACATCATCAGGCAAGCTCTCTGGGACCCACCAGAACCTTCTGTGAGTTGTTCTGGTGACACTTCCCTCTTTGGCCTGCGAACTTAGGGTGGCCATGGGAGGAACCTGGACATAAAGCGAGGGCTATGGGCGACCCAATAGTGCATTTAGGTTTTCAGCCTCTGGGGCTCTCCTGGCCTGGGGCTCTGGCCTCCACCCTTCCTCACTATAAGCAATTCCTAAGGAAAGCCAGGCCTGGGGGTGTACACATGGCAAATGTGCTTCTCCCAGCCAAGGGAACCAAAGGGCCAGCCATTGGGGTGCTCTGAAACTGCCCGGCCAGGCAGCATGCTGCTCTGGCTCAGTATTGAGTCTTAAAGACTTGAGCTGCCCTTTCTGAAGGAGTTTGCCATCTGGGGACTCAGAACTCACTGAGACAGGCTCCCTGTGGGGCTGTCCCTGTGACCCAGGCCTGAGCTACAGAAGCAGGATCGGCAATCTGAGTACTGACCAATGTAAAAAAATAAATATCCATTAAAAAAATAACTTCTGTGTATCTAGGTAAGGGTCTGTAAACGGTAGGCTAATGCAGAGAGGGTTGCCAGGCGGCCAGAAACTAGCCTGTGACATGGAGCCACCCTTAAGGGATCAGCTGGCAGTGGCCTGAGTAACATCATTTCCACCAGAGTGTTACAGATAGAAGCGAGAATAGCAATATATATGCAGAATAGTGTCCTAAAAAATGTATACACACTAATAGCTGACAGCTTAATTTTGAAAATGAAATGTATTTTACTAAATAGTGCCTTTATAATTATTCAAAGTGTGTGTATACATTTTTGGGGGACGCTCTATATATATGAGACAGTGGGAAACTGGCCCTCAGCCCTGGGCATGAGGTGTGTGTGAGGGCATCCAATGGCTCTCCCTGATGTCTGTATTTTCATGACAGGAGGGCACGAAATGGTTGTTACACATGGACATGGTTCTAAAACCTGAGGCGTTTGCTGCCGAGGTTCACTCTTGTCCCCTCACTATTTACCTGGTTACTAGTCTTTGATTGGAAGTGTCCCTGTTCCCAGATTTCCTTCTCTCCTGTCTTACTGGTCTTGTTCCAGAAATGCATGGCAGCCAGAATGGGAACAAGGAGCTCCTCCACCCTGCAAACGGCACCCTGATTCGTGCAGGCGGAAAATCCTGCCTGCCACCAAACACCTTCAGAGTGGGAGTTGCAAGATAGAAGTCAAGTGGGCAGTAAAACCTAGGACTCCTAAGCGCTCCCACACCACGTTCTGGTGGGCAGAGCCATGAACCCCACAGGGGACACCCTTACCGCCACCAGGCAGGAACCTGGATCCTAATTTTGGTTTTAAAAAGCTTAATAACACAAAGGACAACTAGTGAATTCCTACAGCTTCTCTGCCCTCCCATCTCAGCCTGTCTGTAACAGAGGCAGGGGCAATGCATGGGCCTCTCCAGCCTCCAAGCCCAAACCCGTCAGCCGTTAGGTTCCTGGACTGGAATTCAACCCACATGGGAAATGGACAGTGGTTGAAGGGAGGGTCCACAGAAACCCACCAATAGTACAGAACAGAGACCCACCCACATTCTGGCAGTTTGCTTAAAAATTCTCTAGAAATGTATGAAGGACTAAGGAAAGCCAATGATATAAAAATAGTTTTCAGTGGCTCTGGGTAAAGAAAGATGTGTGATGAGGGGTGTTTCAGTCACATCACACGGCAGCCTCTTGAGGTGGTCCTTGGGTCCCCCTGGAAGGAAGGACAGCAGCAGTTAGGTGGGACTGGGAGGCTAGAAAGGTAGCTGGTGGCCCCCAATACCACCAGGGAGAGGCTGGCCCAGGCCCAGGGCCTGAGCCACCTCAGGAATACCAGCCCCAACAAGATGACAGGGCAGGTGACATTGGCCTCAACTGTCCCTGTTCCAGAACCTTCCATGTCTCCCTTACCTTGGTTCCAAGCTATATAACACATCAAAATTTTGTCTCAGACACCAGAAGTTTCACAACTTGTATCTAACACGGTGTGGTCCTAGGTGCTCCATCTCCTCCCCAAGGGCCATTATTTAAGTCACCATTCTCTGACACAAAATCATGGTGCCAGGGAGCGTTCTCTGAGACCACGAGGGCAGTACCAGTGAATGCCACTTAGAGAGACAACCAGTTTTCAACACCCCACTCCCAGGGGTCCCTGGGTTAGTAGCCCAAGGTACACACAACAGGCAAGACCTAGAGGCAAGGAATGCAGCTCCAAGGGTGCGTATGTGTACGTGTATACATGTGTGTGCCCGAGTGTGCCCCCTGGGGCCCCTACCTGCTGATGGAAAAGATCCTCCTCGCCAAACTCAGCTCCCTCCTCTTCTCCCTCCTCCCCGTTCTCCGTCTCCCGCATCACTGAGGACTGTTTCACGGTTCTGATGGCCACTTCCTGTGTGAGACAAGAGCCACGGCCACTCAGCCCCTCAGCTGCAGGGGCCCAGCCCATGTTGGTGGGAGTCAATATACTTGTTCAGGGTTTCACCACACTATAGAGTGCCACCCTGGGACCAGGCCCAGGGCTGCCTTCACTGGCTCTGCTGGCCTAGGCTCCACCCATGGGCTCTTGCACCAGCTGGTGGTGTGGTGTTAAGGTGGACAAGGGAGACCCAGGACTGAGGCAGAGGAACCCCCACATCCAAGCCCCGGCACCCACCTCCCCATCAGCGTTGACCAGGACAGTCCGGAAGTTCTCGCCTGTGCCCCAGCTGTTCTGACTCTTCCACACGAGTGTTGAGGGGGGGCTGTGTGCCACCCCTGCACCAGCTGCCCACACCTGGGGACACACAGGAGGGCCTTCCCGTCAATGTTGGCTCTGGTCACGGTGCATGTGCTACTAGCCAGTCCCTCAGAGCCCCCCTCTGATGCACCAGGGTTTAATCCTTCCAACTTTACTGGGTCCTACCCAGAAATGATGATCACCAGGGTATGGAAGACAAGACTGGAGTTCACAGTGGCCAAGGACACTCATCTTGGCAAACAGGATAAGCTGGGATCTGAAGTTCGTCAGCTCCAGGGCCCATACCCATGACTGGTACATCTCTTGCCAACACCCGCTGGCCCAGACAGCCTGGACTCAGACCCACCTCCACCATGGATCGTGGCATGTTACTTAGGAACTCCAAAGGGCTCCAAGGAGGGCCCAATGAAACAATGCCAGCACACAGGTGACTTTTGACAGCAGGCAGCTTTTCTCAAAATCGGGCATTTAGCCCGACCAGTGTGGCTCAGTGGTTGAGCACTGACCTATGATCCAAGAGATCATGATTCGATTCCTGGTCAGGGCACATGCCAGGGTTGCAGGCTCGATCCCCAGTAGGGGGTGTGCAGGAGGCAGCCAATCAATGACTCTCACTGATGTTTCTCTCTCTCTCTCTTCCCCTCTTCCTCTCTCTGAAATCAATAAAGATATATTTAAAAAACAGAACAAAGAAACAAAAATCACACCGGGCATTCAACTACTACACCACCCCCTAAGCCAGGTCCTGCTTCTCCAGCCCCCATCTCACATTCTGTCATCTACGTGGTTGCTGCTGCCACCTCCCTCCCACTGGTGGCCACTCTCCCTACCGCGGCCCACCTGCCCTTCTGCAGCCACCTACCGTGACAGTCTGGCCAGCCCGCAGCACGTACTTGGGTGTGAATTTGTAGGCAATCTCCTCCCCTTCTAGGACCTGCCTCTTGATCCTCCAGTTCCCCAGAGACTGGTCCTGCAAAGGGGTCATTGCCTGACACATAGCTCCAAGAGACCCAACAGGGGGCCCCCACCCATGGTCAAGGCCCCATACCCCCTTACCTTGTCTGAGCTGTTCTTCAGTTGCACAAACTTGCCCTCCAGGTCAATCTCCTCGATGCTGACGCTGCCCGAGGCTGAGGCCTGCTGGGCCAGGTGGAAGCTGCTGCTGCTGCTGCCACCTGAGCTGATGCCACTGGAGCCTGTGCCCGGAGGTTCCTCCGCCTCCAGCCGCCTCCGCTTGCTGCGGCCCGATCGCCCCGTCATGGACACACTGCTGCCACTGCTCGAGGTGGCCCTTGAGATGGTGACTCGTGACGATGGGCTGGGGGACAGCTTCAGCCTGGGGGAGAGGGGCACAAGGTGACTGGTGATGGCAGCAGGAGCCTATTGGCCTAAGGTTGAACCAGAACAGCCCAGACACTGCAAGGTGGGCAGACTCACTCACCAGCCCATCCTGACCTGCCCCAGGGGCTGGCCTCTCCTCCTTACACCTCCCCTAAAAACCCCACCTTCCATCCCCACCTCACCCCTCCACATCCTGTCCCTCTCCCTTCCTGGACCCATCCCTCATGCCACCTGACCTCTCCTCCTGGCCCAGCATCCCCCTCCTCACCCTACCACCTCTTGCCCGGCCCCCTTCCTTCACCTCTCCTCCTCGCCCTCCAGCAGCTTGCGGTAGGCGCTGATCTCCATGTCCAGAGCCAGCTTGACGTCCAGCAGCTCCTGGTACTCAGCCAGCTGCTGCTGCATCACGTCCCGCATTTCCGTCATCTCCTGCTCCTTAGCATCCAGCATCTTCCGGAACCTGTCACGCTCCCCGGCCATGGCCTCCTCCAGCTCCCGGATCCGGTCTTCAGCTGCACTAGCCTGGGGAGGGGTCCGGGGGCCAGGTCAGGGCGGCCTGTGTGGGTTGTGAGGAGCCCACCTGGTTCCAGGCCAGGGCCAGGGGCCAGCAGCTGGGCAGCCTCATTCAGTGCACAATAGGAATGGGATGGTGATGGCTGGGAGCCTGACCTTCGAGGTTGCATCTACCACCCAGAGGCAGGAGGAAGGACACTGCTGGTGTTATGGGGCAGGGGCAGGTGGGGACTCCTATGAGTCACCTGCTTCTGGAGGCCGGAGAGCTGGTAGCTGAGGGACTCAATCCGCATGCGTGCCTCCTTCAGCTCTTCCCGGGCAGCACTGGCGGCTTTGTCATTCTGGTCAGAGCTCAGCTTGGCACTGTCCAGCTAAGGAGACAGGAACAGGCAGATGAGGTGCCAGGTATGGAGCAAGAGGAGCCATCTGTACTTTCCCACCTGTTCTGTCCCACCCATCCCACCCCCTGCCTGCCATCTCCTGCCTCCTTCCTAACCGCACCTTGGCCTGGTAGGACTGCTCCAGCTCCAGCTTGTAGAGCCGCACTTGCTCATCGTGCTGGCTTCGCAGCTCCTCCAGTGCCTGCGCCATCCTGAAGTCGTACTCCTGCTGCCGGCTGCTGTCCACCTCCACCAGGTGCCGTTCGTGCCGTCGGCGCGTCTCTCGTACCTCCTGGGGACAGAGCACACTGACCCATTGAGGCAGGCAGGAGGGCTGGTGGACTGGGGGTGCCACTGACCCATTCCACTCACCAGTGTCCTCAACCCAAGTGTCAGGTGCAAGCAAGAACTCAAAACTGTACAAATAGGGAACCTGAGGAGTTTCCCTGGTTTCACAAATTATTGACTAATACACATTTCACAATTACCAAAGAGGACACAGCTCAAATGTCCATTGTTGATGAATGGGAAAACACAACATGGTCCATCCACACAGTGGAATATTACTCGGCCATGAAAAGGAGTGAAGCACTGACACTCACTACAGTGTGGATGGATCCTGAACACGATGGTCAGTGATATAAGCCAGACACAAAAGGCCACACAGTGTATGATTCTATTTATGTGAACTGTCCAGAAGAGGCAAATCCAGACAGGAAGTAGGGGATTGGGGATGAATGCTAATGGGTGCAGGGCTCCTTTTGGGGGTGATGGAATGTCCTAGAACGGGTAGAGAACGTCCGGCCCACGGGCTTCACTTCACCAAAGAGAAAGAGTTCCAGCCATCACAATAGGGGTGAGTTAATTAAATGCTTGACCAAATATAGCAAACTAATTTTTAAGTTGATAATTTTGTATGGCCCATGAATGATGTTATAATATCCAGATGGACAGGGGTGGGGAACCTTGGCAGAAAAAAGGTTCCCCACCCCTGTCCTAGAATGAGAGGTAATGGTTCCTCAACCTTGTGAATATACTAAAAACCACTCTAAATTATACACTTTAAAAGCTATATGATATGGGAATATTTTAATAAAGTTGTTACTAAAAAAATAAATTCCTGACTGAGTCTGTCCCAGGTGCCCAGGGCCTGAGACATCCAGCAATCAGGACACCTATGGGATGGGACAGTGATAGCTGAATAAACCAGCTGGAGGAAGTCCAAACCACAAAGGCCACCAGGTAGCTGCCCCAGGCTCACAGTGGGGCCAAGTGCAGGTGTGGGGCAGGCGAGGGACTCCAGAGGGAGGGGATTCTCTCCCACTCATGCCACCTCAGAAATCAGTCACTGTCACCATGTAATCAAGTTTGTATATACCACAGGAGTGTTGCCCCAGGAAGCCAATCATGTTCACAGAGAAGTAAAGACTACTGTGGAACCCCATGGCAGCACACCCACCTTTACCACGCACCCCACGGCTGCTCACCAGGCCCCTCCTGCAGCGCCCTCCAGCGCACAACCCCTCACTGCACCCACATGGGCTCTCTTCACAGTCCTCTTCGTGGTGCCCCCCAGGAGCTCATCACAGCCCACCTCAGGGACCCCTTCCACGGTGCCCTCCCATCACCCCACATTGGCTTCTTTATTGGTCCCGACAGATTTGGGTACCTTCATGGGTCCCCCCTCAGCTCTCCTCCTGGACTCCTCCGTAACTCTCCTGGAGGCCCTGGCTGTCACGGGGCCTGGCTGGAGCCACAGACCACTCCTCAGCTGCATGTGTGCCCTCCTGCCAGCAGCTCTTCCCAGCCATGAACTGCCTGGCCGCAGGATTCCATTCTGGGCCATGACAGCACAATGGGCCCTGTGATGATAAGGTGGGAGGGCCCCCACACTGGCCCTCTCCCAGAGAGCACAGGACCCTAGGTCTACCTGTGGAGACCTCAGTCCCTCCCAGCCAGGCCTGACCATGCCAGGGAGCGGAGGCCCAGGGATTAGGAGGTTGTCAGGGAGGGGTGACCAAACCCAGGAATAGAGGGTAGTGTCTGGCCCTCACTCTGACCCTTAAAGGTATATCTGCACCCTGGATCAGTTCCTTAGAGCACAGTCCTGTAGATGAAAGGGTGGCAGGTTTGATTCCCAGTCAGGGCACATACCCAGGATGCGGGTTCGATTCCTGGTAGGGGCATGTGCGGGAGGCAACCAATCAGTAGATGTTTCTCTCTTTCTCTCTTCCTCTCTGTAAAAATCAATAAAAATTAAAAAAAGGTATACCCATGTCCTAATCCCCAGAACTTGAGTGTGACCTTACTTTGCAGATATAATTAAGTTATGAGTTTCGAGATCACTCTGGATTATCCAGGTGGGCCTTAAACCCAGTGACAAGTGTCCATCTTAAGAGACACCTCTGGTTACAAGGACAAAGCATTGGAAACCTGCAGGCCCGGAGCCCCACCTGACCCGGGACAGAGGGGATGCTCACCACCTTGGGGTATATGGGGCATTTTCCATGAACCCAGGTCATAGTGCCCCACTGAGATCCCAGAGATGCCATCATGCAGGCGAGAGAAAAACAAACTTACACTATTGCACCTCCTACTAGGAAAAAAAAGAACACCTCCACTTATGAACCTGCCGAATTGTTAACAGCAAAACAGTATGTAAACAAGAGTTCACTGCCTCAAATGCATAGGTGGAAAAACAATTCATCAGGTACCATGAATAACCAAGGGTATCATACTCCCCGACTTCAAACTGTATGAAAAAGCCACAATAGCCAGAACAGTACAGTATTGGCAGAAAAAGACATACAGCCCAGTGGGACCGAACTGAGAGCCCAGAAATAAACCCATTCATATGGGCAACTAATTTTCAACAAAGGAACCAAAAACATATGATGTTCTCTGAGAAAGGAGTTTCTTCAATAAATGGTGCTGGGAAAACTGGAAAGCCAAAGGCAAAAGAGTGAAACTAGTCTGCTGGCACTGTGCATAGAAATGAACTCAAATTGGACTAAAGTCTTAAATATACGACCTGAAACAATAAAATACATAGAAGAAAACAGACACTAAACTTATGGACCTTGGTACTACATGGGTTTTTGTGAACTTGACCCCAAAAGCAAGAGAAGTAAAAGAAAAAATAAATGAACAGAACTACATCAAAATAAAAAGCTTCTGCACAGCAAAAGAAAGCAACAAAACAAAAAGGTAACCAGCCAAAGGGAGAACATATTTGCAAATGATACCACAGACCAGGGACTAACATCCAAAATATATAAAGAATTTATACAGCTCAACAATTGAAAAAAAAAAGAACACCCCACAGAAAAAAATCCTATTAAATAAAGAGCAGAGGACCTGATAGTTGCTTTTCCAAAGAAGACACACAGGTGGCTAACAGACACATGAAAAGATGTTCAATGTCACTAATCAGAGAAATGTAAATTAAAACCACAATCACAATGAGATCTCACCTCACACCTGTCAGAATGACTATCATCAATGAATCAACAAACAGTTGACAAAAGTAAACTCTTTTGTTCTGTTGTAATGCAGGTGGAATTGTAAACTGGCATAGCTACACTATGCAAAACAGTATGGAGGTTCCTCGAAAACTAAAAAAATAGAGCTACCTTATGACCCAGCAAATCCTCTTCTAGGTATTTATCCAAAAAAATCCAAAACACTAATTCGAAAAGATATATGCACCCTTATGTTCACTGCTATATATTATTTACAACAGTCAAGATATGGAAGCAACCTAAGTGTCCATTAATAAACAATCGGATAAAAATGAGATACATACATACAGTGGAATATTACTCAGCCATAAAAAGAATGAAATCTTGCCATTTGCAACAACATGGATGGACATATAGGGTATCATGCTAAATGAAACTAGTCAGAGAAATAAGAGAAATAAAGACAAATACCATATGATTTCACTTATATGTGGAACCTAAAGAACAAAACAAAATAAACTGGAAACAGATCCATAGATACAAAGAACAAGCTGATGGTCACTAAAGGGTGGGGTGATCGGAACTGAAAAATCATATATCTGGTAAAGGGTTAATATAAAAAAGTAATGGATTATCACTACTCAATATATTATTCATAAACTAGTCATAATATTGCCACATTTCAGCACGCTTGCTTTTAGTCTGTCACCTGGCTTCATCACCTGGATAAAGAAAAACAAAAAACACCACTATTCTGGTTGGTTTGAACATTGAGGTCTGTTTAACAACTACTTTCTGCACATCCAATTGGTCCAACCACACAGGAAGTTCATCTGTGACACTGAAGTAGGTGGGACACCTGCAGGCCACTTCTAAGACTTATTTTATAATACTGGCCAGAGAGGGCTAGCGCAAAGGGCTTGTTTTCCTCAACTTTTCTGATAAGAATCACCCTGATGCACGTGTGTGCATGTGCACACACAGAGAATTAGAACGACTAATTCTAAAATTTATGTGGAACCACAATAGACACCAAATGGCAAAAGAAATTTTGAGAAAGAACAAAGTGGGAGGTATCATGTGCGCTGATATCAAACCATACTATAAAGCTACAATAATCAAAACAGCATGGTACGGGCATAAAAACAGACATATAGATCAAGGGAATCGAACAGAAAGCCCAGAAATAAATCCTCACTAATATGTCAAATTAATCTATGACAAAAAAGGCAAGGATATACAATGGGGTACAGACTGGCTCTTCAACAAGTGGTGCTGAGAAAACTGGAGACACACATGCCAAAAAATAAAGGTGGACCACACTCTGACACCACATACAAGCCTCACCTCCTCGAAGACGCTCTTGCGGAAGTCAAGCTCCTCCTGTAGGCTCTGACAGCGGTTCTCCAGGTCCACACGCATCAGTGTCTCCTTTTCCAGCTGCTTCTTGGCCACTGCATGACCGTCCTCTGCCTGGGAGACACAGGACAACAAGCTGAGGTGACTATCTGCTGCACTCGTGCCCTGGCTAGAGTCTGTTGCACTAGTCTGGCTCCTCGTGCCCAGGGATCTCCTATAAATACCTGTACACAAATTCACACCTGTGAGACATCCCTTGACCATCCCAGGACCCTCACATGCCCATGAGCTTGAGGTCTCTCACCTCAGCCTGGGGCCTACCTTGGCCAGCTGGGCCCGAAGCTCGGCCACTTCACTCTCGAGGCTGCGCTTATCACTAAGGGCAGCAGCCAGCTCTGCCTCACTCCGGTGGAACAGGGACTCCAGATCCTTCACACGGCCCTGGGCCACTGTGAGCTCGCCATCCCTCTTCTTGGAGCTGAAAGTCAAGAGCAGAGGTTAGCTGGGAGAGTTGAGCAGCTGTGTGGCTGGGGCCCAGGGAGGGCTGTGGACAAATTCACTTCAGCCTGAGCCGAGGGCCCTTTGGACCCATCCCCTGCTCTCTGGTAAGGGAGCCTTCCCTGTAGGCACAAAAAGTGACCCTTCCTCAAACCTGCCCTGCACCTTCAGGGTTTTTCTGACCTACAGATACAGTGTTTAAGAAACCCTCAAGGCATGGGTTGTCCTTTTCTGAGAATTTTGATCACAAAAAGGATCATTTAGGAGAACTCTGATTTTTAAAAAAAAATCAATGTATAGTTTATTAAAGTTACAAATTAAAACCCTAGTCTTTGAAAAGTTAATCTCCTGTGTAAACTTTAGCTATTTCACACAGGATCATCTGGTATTCTAATAGACAATTATCTTCAATAGCAAATATTTAAGATGTCAAATGGATTCTTTAACATACTTTTCATAGCATAAATTTAAGCTCTTATACACTTCTGAATGTAATTCTAAATTTTCTAAATTTTCTTGGAGTTGAAAGTTTACCACCTTTTCCCCATGGAACTTACTCAGCAATTGTGGAGACACCCAGGGTCTCCCCGTCAGTACTGGGGACACTAGGACTGGGTCATTCTGTGGGGTTGTCCTGTGTACTGTGGGAGGTTGAGCAGCATCCCTGGCCCCCACCCCCTTGTTGCCAGGAGCAGCTCAGTCGTGATGACCACAAATGTCTCCAGACATGACCCAATGTTCCCTGGGGGCAGTAACCCTGGATGAGCCCCACTAGGGATACTGCATAAACTCATGTGGCATAAAGACCAGTGACTTCAGCGTGAACGCCATCCTCATACAAGAGATACATGAGGAAACAGCCCTGCATGCATGAAGCAGAGAAGACAGTGAAATATGCTGCCTATCAAACATGAATCTGTTGTAAGGATAGATGAAGCAGGAAAGGGAGATGTGGACTGAGCATGTGCCGGGTGGGAGCTGCACCTTTAAGTGGCGCAGGCCCTGTAGGAGGAACCCTGGGAATGAGCCAGGTCCAGTATTTCTAGAAGAGTGTTCAGGACCAGGACAGAGAAGTGCAAAGGCCCTGGGGTGAGCTGTGCCCAGCAAGTTCAAGATTAGCAACAAGGACAGGGTGATGGGAGCGGAGGGATTAGGAGATGTGGAAAAATTTTAAACAATTTTACCCAATTTTAGGGTTCTGAAGAACAACACAGAGTGGTCCAGAAAGCAGGGGCAGTGGCAGCTCTCCCTGGCTTGTGCACCTGTTTAAAAGCTTCAAGGTGTTAAAGCAGATTCCTCACCTGCATAACTGTAATTCCTAAAGGATTGTGGGGGGGAATCTGGCCTTTTTGTTGGGTCCTCCAAGTGGCTACCCGCAATTCTACCATCATAGGGTTTTGGTGATAAATTTGTTGGGAAAAGAAAAGCACTGAATGTGACCTATCTGGAAGTTCACACCATGTTTGGGGTTACAGCCCACCCACCTCCCTGCCTGGGAGGACCAGAAGACGAGGAATAGGAAGTCAGGCAACTGAGAGAAGTGCTTGCAGATCTATAGGCTGGAGAAGGCTGGAGACCAGAAAAGGAAAAGGCCATTGGCCCAGAGTGCAGGAAGCTGTTTTTCCAGAGTGGGGGCCTTAAACAAACAAGTCACCACCATGCCCAGAATCAGGTAAGTCTTGCTTATAAGCCAAGGAAAATGACTGTCCTGACAATGGGCACAGTTGTCACTCAAAGAAGCTGTCATAGAACAATGGGACCAACCTGAGTCATGGCGGCCACTGATGACACACTCCCAGATGCTGGTACATGCCAGCAGCTGGGAAATCACATCACAGAGGACATCGATAACTCAGAAGACGAAGAAGCTCGCTACACGGAAAGAACCTCATTGATGTCTATGTCCACCTTTATTTTAAATTAAAAAGGTGGAAAACACATGTATCAGATCGGCCACTGCGATTCCATCTGAGGGAGGCTCATGGACACTTTTATTTTTCTCTTTAAACTGTCTTACATTTTCCACTTTCTTGACAGTGAGCATCTATGACTCTGATAACAGAAAAAACATGACTTCTTGGCCCAGACCAGGAACAGCAGGCAGAAGGTCAATTCTGAACTTAAGTTGATAATTATTACCTTGAGTCGATAATAATGTATAGACATTGACTCATCATTTATAACATGGCTCACTCATTAATATAAGATGTTGACAATGGGGAAACCCGAGGGGGGATTTTCAAAACTGAACCTTCCACTCATTTTCTTGTAAACCTAAAACTGCTCAAAAACACCTCTATTTAAAAAAAAACAACAGCCTGTTAATTTAAAAAAAGAAAGGAAAATGCTACAAACATGAAAGTGGATGTTGGAACTACAAGAGGGACTCGGAAAGCCAGGGTCCAGACCTTGGTCCTGGTCACTACTGAGCTGAGGGAGCTTGGACAAGTCCCCAACCCCATGCCTCAGTTTCCCCCTCTGTAAATGGAGATGATGACAGTCTGGCCCTGCTAGGGTCACTGTGAGGATGAAAGAAGATCATGCCTGAACTAGGTGTTAGTCATGGTATCCCCTTTATTACTTTAATACTTGATGTATTTAAATTATTTTATTACGCCCTGGGTGGGTGGCTCAGTTGGTTGGAGTGTCGTCCCGTTCATCAAAAGGTTGTGAGTTTGAGCCCAGCTGATGTGGCTCAGCGGTTGATCATTGACCTATGATACAGGAGATCCCAGTTCAATTCCTGGTCAGGGCACAGGCCTGGGTTGCAGGCTTGATCCCCAGTAGGAGGCATGCAGGAGGCAGCAGATCAATGACTCATCATTGATGTTTCTCTCTCTCCCCCTCCCTCTCTCTGAAATCAATAAAGATATATTAAAAAAAAAAAAAAAAA